TGGACCGCCCTGCCCGGTCCTGCTGTGGCGCCTTGGCTCATGCATGGCTCCCTCCCAGGCCGGCTCTCCACGCTCCCTGCTGGTGCACACGGTAGCCAACCTTCAAGGCCTGAGTTCCCACTTTTACCTCCCTCCCAGCTCACAACCATCTTCCGCTTTGTCTGTTTTACAAAACTTCTTACCAGGGGCCAGTGTCTGGCACAATGGCTGCATCACCACCGGGATACTGGCATCCCACACCAAAGTCTGAGTGCCTGGTTTCAGTACCTGAGTCTCACCCTGCTTCCTATCCAGCTTCCCGCTAATGCACACCCTGTAACTGGATACACTGCAAAGCAGATGAACACAGGCTAGTGCCTGTAAGGAGATGGAAGATAACTATTAACACGTTGAGGAGCAAACCTGAGTAGGCTGACAGACAGACCCTAGGTCGGAGGGCAGGCAGGCAGCTGGCTGGGGAGACAAGCAGACAGGAAGGACATAGGCAAGCTGCTCAAGGCTGCAGCCACAGGGAACAGAAACTGTCCTGGCTGCGTCAGGCGCGAGGCCTGGGGCAAGGTGAGCAGGGCCAGGCTGGCTGGGGAACCCCGTGGGGAAGTCGCCGACTTCCGAATGCAGGTGCTTCTCCTTCTGCGGCCCCTGGGAGTGGAGTGCTGTGGGTACACCTGACTGGGAAGCAACCCCAGGTGAGGTGACACGAGCGCTCCCGGGCAGCTCACCTCCTTCCAGCGGGCAAAGGACAGCCCCAGCTGAGAGCCGGAAGCAGCTGGGAAGGCAGGGGGTGCAGCCTCTCTTCTGCAGTTGGTCCCAGCCCTGGTTTCTCTCATCCTGAGGGCCGAACCGGGAAGAAAGCTGGAGGAAAGGAGCCCCGGAGGAAAGGAGCCCCGCAGGCTGTGGCAGGTGCCTGCCTCTCCAATGAACCAGGTGACATCCTAGATGGAGCTTTGTCCTGTGGTTCCTAGCAGAGCAGAGCGCTCACACACAAGAACACCACACAAGGGCCCGGCACCGTGGCGTAGGAGGTTAAGCCTCCACCTGCGTCGCCCGAGTCTGGCTGCTTGACTTCTGATCCATCTCCCTGCTGATGGCCTGGAAAAGCAGCAGAAGACGGACTAAGGACTTGGGCCCCTGCACCCGCATGGGAGATCCAAAAGAAACTCCCAGCCCCTAGCTTTGGAATGGCCCAGCTCCGGCTATTGTGGCCATTTAGGGAGTGAACCAGTGGATGGAAGACTTTTCTCTCTGTCTCTCCCTCTGTCTGTAACTTCCTCTCAAAAAAAAAAAAAAAATCGTTTAAAAAACACATGCACTCAATGAAAACAGGGGACAACAAAAATGGTGAAGTACAGCCAAAAAAATAATAAAATAGTAGGAATGTCCTACAGTCTTGAAACAGTAGGCAAAAAAGGCACCACCACGACTCCTACTCCACTGACAAACCTAGTGCCTAGGGGGTGTCCACACTCGGGCATGCTTCTACTCACACTACAGTTGGGGTCGCCTCAACCACCAGCCTGTGGTTGCTGAGTCAAAACAGCTTCCCCTTGCCAGGAGTGTATGTGCCTTGTACTGGTGGTGTCCCCAAACCTCAGAACAGTGGCTCTGAGTACTATGATCACCTCCATTTTATAGATGGGAAAAGTGAGGCCCAGAGGGCTCCTTTCGGAATGGGAAGCCAGGACTGGCACTCATGCTGTCTGAGGGCACAGCCTGTGCGCTTATTCCATGTGCCCAGCTGGGGGCCCTGACTCATTCCTTTTCTGTGCCCAATGCCCAGGCACCCAGCACTGTGCTTTGCAGGGACTAGGTCTCTAGAAATTACTTGAGGACCCCCAAGGACACTGTCAATACAACTGCTGTGTGAGCTATTCAGGACCCTCGTTTATGTCCCCCCATTGGATGCTGCTTGAAGCTGTCTGATGTTTATTCAGGACCTACCTAGTAGACAGGTCCCCGGCTGTCATCTCGTTCAACCCGCACTGCAGCCCTGGGAGGCGTATGAGTGCGCCATGACCCCCGTTAGAGATGAAGGCACTGCGGATCCCAGTGGTGCAGGCACGTGGCCCGTAGGCAGCAGAGCATGCTCGCAGGCCCACAGTCACCCGGCTTCTAGCCTGGCTCCTCTTCTCCCCTAGCACTCCCTTCCCCGGCTTCTGATCGCCCTCCGGGTGTCGTCGCCTGCTGTCAACCAGCAACTGCCTGAACATTTGCTCTGATTTTCCACTGAGGTCGCCGAGTTCCTTCCAGACAAGAAGCCCTTGGCTGCGGAGCCTCCCCGAGCTTTGCTAGGCCTGCGTGCATGCAGGCTGCTCTGTGCGGCACGGAGCTGCCAGCCCCCACCCCGCCCCCCAGGCCACATCCCCAGAAGTGGGCTTTCTGCGTAACTGCAGCGAAGGCACTGCAGTGTCTGAAGACGCCTCTGAATCATTAGGCTAGTTTCAGTCTGCAGACCGCCACTCTGTCGCTGGGAGACTTACAGTATCCTCGTGGCTTGTTTCAAAGAGGAAGCCAGGCAGGAAGTACTTCAATAGGCTCCCTCCCCAGGCCACGACTTGACGCAAATCACTCAACTTCTGCGTGCCTCAGTTTACACATGTGTAAGGGGGTAAGAATGGTAATACATGAAGTATCCACCCACCCATCCTCTATCCACACACAGAACACTCAGCAAATAGATACTGCACGTCTACCCTGTGCTCAGCACTGAGCAAGGCACTCAGGTCACATCGTGAGCAAGACACAGACCCGTGTCCCTTCCCTGTGGGGCTGCTCCAGCGGGAGAGTCCAACAGTCAAGAGCACACACGACACAAGAGTGAAATACACACACTGGGGAAGACACTCTCCATCCGGGGAGGGGGTTCAGGGTGTGGAGCAGTGGCAGCGGCAAACGGGACAGTGATAAGGTGACGTTTCCTCACGGCTGAAGGACGTCAGGAGGCTGGCTGAGAGGATGCCTGGAGAAGAGTAACCCAGCAGAGAGAACAGCAGGTGCAAAGGTCCTGGGGCCGAGAACACCAGGTGTGTCTGAGCACCAGTGAGGGCGCCAGCATGGCTGCAGGAGATGGGTCAGGCAGAGGGCAGGAGGGGATGAGCAGAGAGGTGGTATGCGGAAGCCATGTGATCGGTCTGTGGCCCACTGTCCAGATTTAGCTTTTCCTTGGAGTGAGGTGGAGAGCCAGGACAGGGTTAGGATAGTGGAGGGTTTGGATCCTCACAGAGCAACTGAGAAGGAGGGTTACAAGAACCTTCTCTGAATCCTTGTGAAAACAGGTCGGTGTGCCCTTTATCTACGAACTACACAGAAATTCTCTTCCGTTGTTCTCTTTCCCCCCTCTGCAGCCAGTGCCTGTCCCCTGTGCCACAGCGGCACCCTTGGAGCCCAGGAGAGGAGCTGACTTGGAAGACAGGGACAGGGAGAGGGAGAGATGGCCATTTGTCCTGCTCTCTCTCCTGAGCCCCGCAGCCCACACGCCTTGCGCCCAGTTCCACTTTCTAGAGTCACATGGGATCAGAAATGAAAATATGACATCCCCAGGGAGGAAACAGAGTTAAATAACAGGAACCAGCACTCTCGGAGAGAGGGGGTGGAGGGCAGGGGTGTCACCAGGCAGCGTGTGAAGAAGGGGCTGTCAGGGAGCCAGGAAGGCTCTGAAGTACACCCCCGGCCCAGGTGAGTGTCTGCAGCCCTGTCAAGACCACCCTGGCTGCCTGAAGCTCCCCGGGAAGCCAAGGGAGATGATTCTGGAGGCAAAGACGCCCCTCACCCCTGGTGTTTACTGGAGGGAGAGAACAAGAGGCGCACCCACCTGGGTGAGAATGGAACCATCAGAGCCCACCCCACACAAACCCACACACACACAGGGCTTGGAGGACGCTACCTTCTCTGAGGCCTAAGGCCACTTACTCTCCCAACACTGGGTGAAGCCCAGACGCTCATCTGCCGTCAATCCCCCCTCCACTGGGCATGGGGGTGGGGAGGGTGCACAGGAGCAGGCTGCCACCTCCGGGAAGGGTTTCTTCGTTATACGTTAGCTGAGGCTGGAGGTCATCATGGGCCTCAGGGTGGAGGGGAGAACTGAGTGAGGAGGGGCTGGCTGGGATGAGGCTGTGCCCTGCACTCAGCAAGTGATCCGCAATGAATCACTGTCGTCCAAGTTTCCAAATGACTATAAAACCGTTAACAGGGCCAAGAAGGGCTAGAACTGTAACCCAAGTCATAGGATCAGAAAAGCACAGGAGATTTGCCCCCGAGAAGGGGCCGGAACCAATGCATCTCTGCAAAGCTCATTGCCATGGCATGGGAACCTCTTTGTCACTGGGGAAGACCCAAGATGCTGTAGAAGCCACAGAACTGAGAGAAACAGTGCACTGCAGGCTGGATGTCCTGATTGAAGTTGTACACATGCCATCAGGTCTCTTAAGACGTAAGACACTCACTCCTTCTCTTTGTGAGCGGGTTCCTTCTTTCGTCTTTCTTCCTCTCTCCTGCCCTCCTTCTCCCAGTCTTTGATTCCATGTCTGTCTCTCCCTTCCTTCCTCTCCGCACTTACACACTTGCATGCACACATGCTCACAAATGCATGCACACGCACACAGTGTCCTCTGCTCTCCAGACCGTTGTGCGGCCCCTCCTCTCTGCGCCACCTCGCTTATCTCCATCTTTTACACACACTGACTGCATCTGCCCACATCTTCCCCGTACACTGTCAGCTCCTGGAAGGCTGGTGTGTCCACCTGTGCACCCCTAGTGCTGGTCCATCCACAGAGGTCAGAGAATGAAGCAGACACTCAGCCGCACGCCTCGGCATGGCTTTGGTCACCCCGAGTCACCCGGGAGCATGCTGTATGCCTCCGCACGTCCAGCAGTGAAGACTGTATGGCTCTTTGGCAGTTCTCAGACACCCTGATGGATAGACTTTCCTTTCAGAGAGGAGGGAAAAGTCCCTGTGCTACCTACAGCCACTCACAGCTCCCAGAACAAAAGGGATGTCAACTTACCGCCAAGGTCCCCGTGTTCAGGGCTCCTCTCTGCTGCTGGAACCTGCCACCCGCTCCGGGCCCAACCTAAGAGGGCCACGTCCAGGTCTCTCTTCTCCAGCAGAGTCAGGGAGATCTTCCTGGCCAGCGCCTCCCCATCAGGCTCGTGGAGCAGGGCGCAGTGGTACTCCCTGGAGAGAAGCTCCTCCTGTAGCAGGCTGTCCAGGAGAGCCCGCACTTCCCTCTGCCCATGGCAGGACAGCAGCATCTGAACCCGAGGCAGGATGGCCTGGAAGTGGTCCATGGCAGCGCTCAGAGGCAGGGCAGCTGCCGGGACAGCGCCTGGGATCTCTCGCACCAGGCCTGCAGCATCCAAAACATGAAGTGAAAACCAGGACCAGGAAATCTGTGCAGTCTATCACAGTTTAGTCCTTCTTAGGAAGATTTCCTCATTTCTATTGGAGGCTGGCGTGCCTGGTGAGCAGATAGCAGTATAGTTCTCAGGCTGACGGAGGCCCCACAAACGTCGGGTACCACCCGGGTGCCTACATCAGAGAACAGCCTTGTGTAGTCTGTTTACTCCAACCCAGATTTTACCAGCAGGAATGATCCTCTCTAAGATCCAGAGGGTCACACACGGCAAGGAGGCAGCATGGCTTAAAGGTTGGGCAGATGGGGTTAGAGCAAAGCTGCTAGGTTCAAGTCCCAGCTCCACCACTTGCGCGGTATGGGTCCTTGGGCAAGTTACTCCGCCTTCCTTAGCCCCGCCGTGTCCATGTGAGAAGGCAGACTGACAATACAGTACTGACCTCCTAGGGTAGTTGGGAGAATTAAATGTGATACATAAAGAATACTTAGTACACATCTACAATGAGGGTAGTCGCTCAATTAATTTGAGCCATTATTAACAATTACTTATTAATCACATTTTTAAAAAAAGATTTATTTATTTATTTATTTGAAAGTCAGAGTTACACAGAGAGAGAAGGAGAGGCAGAGAGAGAGAGAGAGAGAGAGAGGTCTTCCATCTGCTGGTTCACTCCTCAATTGGTTGCAACGGCTGGAGCTGTGCTGATCCGAAGCCAGGAGCCAGGAACTTAGTCTGGGTCTCCCACGTGGGTGCAAGGGTCTAAGGACTTGGACCATCTTCTATTATGGCTTTCCCAGGCCATAATAGAGAACTGGATATGAAGTGGAGCAGCCGGGACTCGAATTGGCGTCCATATGGGATGCTAGCACTGCAGGCGGTGGCTTTACCCGCTAAGCCACAGTGCCAGCCCCAATCACATTATTAATTATGTTATTGTTATTATTACTTATCAGTCATTGTAATTAATCATTACTTATTAATCATGTAAATAATTTTGTCTCTTTGAGGTTAATCCCAGTAAACCTCAGTTTGAACTCAAAACCTCCCAATAAAACCAATCCAATCTCATGGAGTCTGTTCCAAGGTTAAAAGAGATAATGAAGAGCTCAGCATTGGACCTAGCAGGCACTCACGGCACACTGGCTGCTTACCAGCACTATCCCCAATTTACAAATGCACAAAACAGGTTCTCTGTATAGGAGTCAGTCTGTTTTGAAATTTCCCAGTCGGGGGCAGGCATTTGGTCCAGCAGTTAAGACACTGCTTGGGATGCCCCCGCCCCATATTGGAACACCTGCATTCAAAGTCTGTCTACACTTCCAGTTCCAGCTTCCTACTACTGTGCACCCTGGGAGGCAGCAGATGATGGCTCAAGTGCTTATGTCCCTGCAACTAGGTATGAGATCTGGACTGAGTTCCTGACTTCTGGCTTTGGCCTGGCTCAGCATTGGTTGTTGCAAGCATTTGGGAAGTGAACCAGTAGGTGGAATATCTTTCTATATCTCCCTGATTATCAAATAAACTAAATTAAAACAGTGTTTTAAGAATCTCCCAGCTGATGGTTACCGATCATTAGCTGACTGCTCCCCCTGCACATTCTAGAACATTCTGGAACATTCTGGAACACACCATAGCCTTGCGTCTTCACACAGCTCAGCTCTGCCACCTCTCTGATGAGAACATGAGAACATTTGCATTGCTCATTTAAATGAGACAAAGAAGGATTTCCACTCCTAGTATGGCTGAGCGGCTCCGATCTGACCACCTCTACCACAACTATAAACTGCAAAAAATAATTTTTTAAAAAATGACCTGAAGGCACTGGGGAGTAACAGGACAGGCAGATCCCAGAAAGGAGTCAACACGTGGAAAAGGAGAATGTTCCTGATGAAGCGCCCAGTCTATGAGCTCAGCTGGGAGGCAGGTCCAATCAGTGCTGTGCTGGTCAGCTAAAAGCCTGATTTTTTTTTTTTTTTTTAAAGCAAAGTTTAACTGCTCTGACCTGAATAACCAGAGGACAGAATTTGGGACAAAAAAGTTGCTGGAAAGTGAGGGGAGACACCCGGAAGAGTAGAAACAGAGAGGAATAACTCCCAGTGCTGTGCATAAAGCGCCCACAGCTCTGGCTGATCTGACCTAAACAGACATTCACAGGCCTTCCCCAGGCGGCACAGCAAAGGCCAACGGCGCCACAGTCTGTACTGCAGGTAAGGAGTGGAGACTACACTGGATTCCAGCTAAAATGAACAGAAACATAAGCCCTGTCCAGATTATAATAGAACCCGGAATATTTATAACATATTAATTATGTCCAGTACATTTCAAAATTACTTGATATATCCTCAGATGGAAAAGAGGAAAAAGTGACCCACTTGCAAGAGAAAAAGATAACGGAAACTGGTGCCAAGATGTCCCAGATGTTAAAGTCAACAGATATGGGCTAGCACAGTGGTGTAGCAGGCTAAGCCTCTGCCTCCGCCTGTGGCACCAGCATCCCATATGGGCGCCAGTTTGTGTCCCAGCTGCTCCTCTTCTATTCCAGCTCTCTGCTTATGGCCTGGGAAAGCAGCGGAAGATGACTCAAGTGCTTGGGCCTTTGAACCCACACGCGAGACCTGGAAGAAGCTCCTGGCTCCCAGCTTCTGATTGGCTCAGCTCTGGCTGTTGCAGCCATTTGGGGAGTGAACCAGTAGATAGAAGACCTCTCTCTCCCTCCCTCCCTCTCTGTAACTCTCCCTCAAATAAATAAATAAAATCTTCAAAAACAAAATCAACAGACAAGGATCTTATATATATATATATATATATTTATTTATTTAAAGTGTTACTTATGTATTTGAAAAGAAGAGCAAGAACGAGAATGAGAGAAACACAGAGGGGGAGCTTCCATTAGCTGGTTCACCCCCCACATGCCAGAGATAGCCAGGGCTGGGCCAGGTTGAAGCCAGGAATCAGGAGCCCAGAACTCAATCCCGGTCTCCCACGTGGGAAGCAGAGATCCAAGTACTTTAGCCATGCTCTGCTGCCTCCCAGGGTATGCACTAGGTAGGTGGACTGGAATCAGAGCAGCCAGGACTCAAACCAGTTACTCTCACAGGGCATGTACTGACAGTCAGCGTCCCAAGTGGTGGCTTAACGGACTGTTCCACACCACTTACCTCAACAGACAAGGATTTCTAAGGCAGTGATTATAACATGTGAAAAGGAAAATATGCTCATAAAGTGAAAAGACAGAAACATCTCAGCATAAAATAGAAACTACTAAAAATGTAACCAGCATTTCAGTACAGCAGGTTAAGCTATCACCTGCAACCCTGGTGTCCCACAGTTCGAGTCCCAGCTGCTCCACTTCCAATCTAGCTCCCTGCCAATGTGCCTGGGAAAGCAGTGGAAGATGGCCCAACTGCCTGGGGCTCTGCCACCCGCGTGGGAGACCCAGAGAGACTTCCAGGTTCCTGGCTTCAGCCTGGCCCAGGCCCAGCTGTTGCTGCCATTTGCGGAGTGAACCAGCAGACAGAAGATCTCTTTCCGTCTCTCCCTCCTCTCTCTGTAACTCTGCCTTTCAAATAAACAAATAAATTAAAAAAAAACTAAATAAAAATTATAAAAGTGAAGAATATAATACTTGAAATTTAAAAATTCACTGGATGGGATTAACAGACGTCTAAGAGGAAGGCCAAGGAAATTACTCAATTTGAAGAACAGAGAGAAAAAGTTTTTTTTTTTTTTTTTTTTTTTTTTTTTTTTTTGACAGGCAGAGTGGACAGTGAGAGAGAGAGACAGAGAGAAAGGTCTTCCTTTTTTGCCGTTGGTTCACCCTCCAATGGTCGCCACGGCCGGCGCACCACGCAGATCCGATGGCAGGACCCAGGTACTTATCCTGGTCTCCCGTGGGGTGCAGGGCCCGAGTACTTGGGCCATCCTCCACTGCACTCCCTGGCCACAGCAGAGAGCTGGCCTGGAAGAGGGGCAACCGGGACAGAATCCGGCGCCCCAACCGGGACTAGAACCCGGTGTGCCGGCGCCGCGAGGCAGAGGATTAGCCTAGTGAGCCGCGGCGCGGGCGAGAAAAAGATTTTTAAAATGAGACTCAAGGATCTGTGGGACAATATAAAAATACTCAACTTAGACACATACGGAGTCAGAGATGGAGAGAAAGAAGGGGATAGCAAAAAAGACTGGAAGAAATAATGGGCAAAAACTCCCCAATTTTTTTTTTGACAAAATACAGATTTGAGAAGCTCAGCAAACGTAGGCAGTATAAACATAAGAAAACCACTTGTAGGCACAAAACAGCAATCTGTTGAAAACCAAAGGGGGAACTTGTGAAAACAGAAAGATCAAAACACTGTCCTACAGAACATCTAAATCATCACTCACTTCCCATTAGAAACTATGGCGGGGGGGAGGGGCGGGGAGGGGGCGGCACTGTGGCATAGCCGGTGAAGCCACCATCTGCAGTGCCGGCATCCCACATGGGCGCTGATTCGAGTCCCGGCTGCTCCACTTCCGATCCAGCTCTCTGCTATGGCCTGGGAGAGCAGCAGAAGACGGCCCAAGGCCTTGGGCCCCTGCACCCACGTGGGAGACCCAGAGGAAGCTCCTGGCTCCTGGTTTTGGATCAGCCCAGCTCTGGCTATTGTGACAATTTGGGAAGACCTGGAGGAACCAGTTGATACAAGGTATCTCTCTCTGCCCCTCAAGTAAATAAATTTTTTAAAAAATTCATGAACTAGGGCTATATATATTAACATACAGACCTCAAAATCTTAGTGAGTGGAAATGCAAATGCAACTGCAGTCTGCAAAGTATTATCTAGGGATGGACGCACAGTAGGTACAGACGTGGTCAGAATGATCAGATGTCAAGTCAGGAGAGTGGGTATTCCCAGAGCAGTGAGACAGATGAGGGAAAACAGTATCAGCAAAGGGTTCTCAGGGGACCAGACAGAACGCCAAAGTTTTATTTGGTGAACTGGAACTGCAAGCCACTCATACTGTTATTCTCTATAACTTCCTGTCTGTCTAAAACAGTCAATCACGTGGGTCATACAGAATTGCTGATATTTGGTTTTAGATTTATTAAAATGGGTCGTTTCCTAGGATGTGACCCTAATAAGATGATGATGAACATCGCCTTCACCTCCACCAGTCCGGACCTCCCTCTTGCTAATCACTGCTCCTACCACAGCGCTGCTGCTAACCCTGGCGCTACCAGCATCTACTGCAATTTAGCAGCCCCCCAGACAGCCTGCAAGATGGCTACTCTTACTATCGCCATGACGTCCAAAGCATGAAGGAGCTTCACAACAGTTATCAGCTGGGTCGGCACTGTGGTGTATTGGGTAAAGCTGCCGCCTGCAGCGCCAGCATCCCATATGGACGCCGGTTCAAGTCCCAGCTGCTCCACTTCATATCCAGCTCTCTGCTATGGCCCGGGGAAGCAGTAGAAGATGGCCCACGTCCTTGGGCCCCTGCACCCACATGGGAGACCCAGAGGAAGCTCCTGGCTCCTGGCTTCAGATCAGCGAGGCTCTGGCCATTGCTGCCAACTGGGGAGTGAACAAGCAGATGGAAGACCTCTCTCTCTCTCTCTCTGCCTCTTCTTCTCTCACTGTTTAGCTCTGACTTTCAAGTAAAATAAATAAATCTTTAAAAAAAAAAAAAAAAACCATATCAGCACACTATGTGGTTTTTTTTTGTTTTTTTTTTTTTTTTTTGACAGGCAGAGTGGACAGTGAGAGAGAGAGACTGAGAGAAAGGTCTCCCTTTGCCGTTGGTTCACCCTCCAATGGCCGCCGTGGCTGGCGCGCTGCGGCCGGCGCACCGCGCTGATCCGATGGCAGGAGCCAGGTACTTACCCTGGTCTCCCATGGGGTGCAGGGCCCAAGGACTTGGGCCATCCTCCACTGCACTTCCTGGCGGCAACCGGGACAGAATCCGGTGCCCCAACCGGAACTAGAACCTGGTGTGCCGGTGCCGCAAGGCAGAGGATTAGCCTAGTGAGCCGCGGCACCGGCTTCCTTCTAACACTTAATCTGGGGGTGTCGGGACCACTTGTTGACATGGAACTTGGCCCAGTGTGGAAGTATCATTTGTTTCTCCCAATGGTCCAAGTTTAGAGAGGCAGAGAAGTCCAATCAGTCCTCTATGTACAAAAGGATTTGGGAGTTAAGGGAACCTGAGGCTCAGAGATATCCAGTGTCCTGCTACCGGTCACACAGCCAGCAACTGCCAGGAATTGGGCAGAATACAGGCTGTCAAAGCCTGCAGGATCACCAGCTTAGCCCCTGCCTTAATCGCAGAGCTGGGAGTGACCCAGGCTGTGGCAGCCACGGAGCTATGCCGCTCGGCTCTCAGACAGGACCCTGTCACAGGGCAGCAGTCAGTCGACGGCCTGTGTGCTTCGCGTTCTTCCTCAGCCTGTAAGGTGCCACCAGCTGCCAGCCTGGCAGTCCCTGGCCAATGACTGATCATGGCCGTGACACAGGCTCTCCATGACTGGCATCTGTTGGCAATCTATATACCAGGATGGTCTTGCCCCTCTCTCTTTTCTAAAGATGTACTATTGTTTTAAAAAAAGAAAGAGAGAGGGAGGGAGGGAGGGAGAGAAAGAGTGATCTTCCACCCACTGGTTCACTTCCCAAATGGCTGCAATGGCCAGGGTTGTGCCAGGCTGAAGCCAGGAGTCAAGAGCTTCTTCTAGGTCTCCCACACAGTGCAGGGGCCCAAGCATTTGGGTCACCTTCCACTGCCCTCCTAGGTGCATTTAGCAGGGAGCTGAATCAGAAGTGGGGCAGCTGGAACCCAAACAAGTGCCATATGGGATGCCAGTGTCACAGACAGTGGCCTCACCCGCTGTGCCACACCACTGGCCCCTTGTCCCTCTCTTTGCAAAAGCGTCATACCTGCTTGCCTTTTTAGGTTTCTGCTCTCTTTCCTTTATCGTTCAGAGGTGTGGTGTCCCAAAGAACTCTTGTACACTAATTCTAGGTGTCTCAGATGACACAAACGTGTGGGTTTATGTGATCAAAGAACATGAAGTTGTTTTCCTCCTTGTCCTTACGGCTGAACTCCAGACACTCTTTAACCCTATGGGTTGAGTGTATACCTATGCCACTGAATCCTACAGCAATCAGAGAACTGCTGGGATACTGTGCTGACACATGTCTGGACCACGCAAATCAAGGGAGTGGCTCGTTTGCACAAGCCGAACGTCTCTGTACCTTAATGGTGTTAATCATGTTTGCAGAAAACATGAACACATGCTTGGCACACAGTCAGCATCCAGAAAATTCACTCACTTACTGAGTGCCTAACCCAAGGGGACAATGGAAAAAGAACAGTGAACAAAACAAGAAGAAAACGCCTGCCCTCGGGGAACTTATAGTCTTCTTCATTAAAGCTAAATGTGAAATCTCTTGAAGATCTCTCAACAGAAGGAAAAGCCAAATAAGATAAGGCGCTCCTTTGAGAGGCAAAAATATGAGACCAGAATTGTAAGTATCCCTTCAAGAGGGAAATCAGCTTTAAAGAAATACCAGGAAATGGTGCTCGGAGTTCTTGACACGCGGTGCTGGGCAGCTGCGCTCTGGAATGTTAATGAGGCACAGACTGAGTAGTCCGAGCAAGCGGCTGGCTGGGTTTGGTTAACGAATGTCAGAGTTTCCAGGTCAGAGTTCATTTTGTTCTTCCTTAGGAAGCCCCATTATTTCAAGATCTAAAGAGTCAGATGTTCGCTTTGATGTACACAAATCTCTCTCTTACCTC